TCAAAGTAAATTGCAGTAGACAATCCAAATGAAAAGAAGATGAAAAAAATTGCCCTGCACACAATTTGCATCTCTTCTAGTTGGAATTACCAAGACCAGACTGGGTTATAGCTGTGACTTGTTTGTGATTCACTGTCTGAGGATGTTGAAGACAATATATCTGCTTAGATACTGGTGACTGGAGACCTGAGTTGGCTGGGACTATGACTGTCAAGGCCATCTTCTTTGTTCTGTAGGACATTTTCCTATGAATCATTCTGAGGTTTTGTATGTTTGCCCCAGATTTTCAAAACCTGGCAATCCTGGACATATACCTTTATTCTCTGCATATGTGTGAGCATGTATGATGAGTGCATCTCATCCAAGAAGCATTCCATGTTCTGCAGTTTGACAGGCAAGGTTTAAAACAAACACGAAGTGAAAAAGAGAAAGAAGAGCACTTTTATAAAGGTCAGCACCTGAATCATTGTTTTAAAGTTGTTCTACTTAATTGTGCCTTCCAACAGTACAAGTCCACAAGTGGGGTAGTTTTGGTAGCTTTGATGGAAGTCACTTTGAATTATCCCATAAACTTTAATCATGTCCTTAACTCTTTTGTACAGACTTCAGTAGAAAAAGAAATGTGTGCATGTGGATTACTCATTGGAGTGAAAAAAAAAAAAAAAAAAGTGAAGGACTGAGCCTTTGAATTAAGTCTTAAAGTTAACATTTCAAGATGAACTTCCTAAACATGGAATGAGAGCTCGGCTGCTCTGTAAACAAATATGCCCTGAAGAGTGTAAAGATAAATCAGCTTCCCTAGTCACTTTTGCATTTCTGTGAACCATAGAGCACAGAGAAAAGAGGAGGCCAGAAGGCTGCTGCTTGTTGTGGAATGTATAACATCCATTAAGTGCCTAATTTGCAAAAAGGAGTTGCTTCTGGAAATTGCTAGTCATAGATGTCCTGCCATCAATGTCCTCCTTCACCCTGTTCATGCCGAGGGTGGTGATGTGAAGACTGACTCGTGCTGGCTTGCCTTCAGCCAGCCACCTGCTCCTGTCCTGATATCCAGCTGGGAGACTGGCGCTGCTGGAGCTGTGGGTGAGCCAGAGCTCCGCCAAGTGTGAATGTGCTTGGGTTTACTTCATGCCAGTTAGTGGCTCTGTTCCTATTGGGCTTCTGGATTAAATTTAAATACACCAGCAGGGAAATGGTGAAGCCACTCACTGGCTTTGTGCACTTATTATCATTTTGCTTCAGCAGCTGCCTTTGTACTTTAGGCAACACCATCTTCCAAGGTGACGTTAGCTGTGTTGTCATAGCACTAAATCTAAGTGTTAGACATAACTGAGCCAAGTGTGCAAAACTGAACATGTATTTTTATTGTGAAAAACAATTGTTGCTAAATAACTATCTCACAAGGAAAATGTAATTATAAAGATTCTTCTCCAGCTCCTGCTCTAATTGAATGAACAGGATTCTTCTGTACTGCTTTGCAGACACGAGCTGTTATTGAATTACTGCATTAACTTGGGGTAGCTGTTTTACCTTTGCCCCACTCAGCAAAACAGCTTTCAGACTTTTGAACTAGAAATTATATATTATCTCAACAGGACACGGGGGAATGGTTTTAAACTAAAAGAGGGTAGATCTAGGCTACATAAAAGGAATTTTTTTTTTTTTTTTTTTTTTTTTGTGGTGAGGATGGTGAGACAGTGGAACAGTTTGCCCCAGGAAATTGTGGATGCCCCTTCCCTAAAAACATTCAAGTTCAGATTGGGTGGAGCTCTGAGCAACCTGATCTAGTTGAAATGTCCCTGCTTATTGCAGGGGTTTGGACTAGATGACCTATCTAACCCAAATTATTCTATGATTATCTTGTCCTTCTAACTAGAATGGTGTTCATGAAAGAATTTGAGATTGATGGTATTTTAACTATATTCGTTTTACCTTGTCTCGTTGATGCAGTACCTGCCAACCAAAATTGAACAGGGCTGGGAAGAAACTTTCTTTTTAACAAGTATTCATTAATTCTTGCATAGAAAAAGGTTCATAAATTCTGTTTATGTGGCAGTGTCATCAGCAGATTCCTCCACGCACTTCTAAGAGTTCAAGTTTGGGCTGCAAAGGTCAAGCAACAGCTCCTTGAACAGACAAACTTTCCAGGCTATTCTTTTCATTATGTGTTGGTTGGCTTTTGGCATTTTTAGTTGCTGTGGCATCTACCATAAATTAAAAAAAAAAAAAAAAAAAAAAAAAAAAAAAAAAGAATAGCTGGAGAAATGCATTACTTGGCTGAGCAAGTTCTCAGGGCTCAGGGCCTGGAAATCACATGTTTGTCAAGTCTCTCATGCCAGACTCCCCCTGCTACATGACACATTCCCTCCTCAGGATTCTCTGTGCCATAGGCACTGCTGCCATGGAGGCCAGAAAGAAGCTGTGTGACCAGGTGTGCAGCCTTGTCACCCAGCCTGCGACAGGGAATGTCAGTCTGCTGCGCTGCCACCTGCCTACCTCCAACCAATAAGGCCACAGCCACTGGCCATTTTATTTCCAATGGACTTTGTCCTTCTCTTGTGAAATCACTGCCAACCTTGCCAGCAGCCTCAGCTGGTAAGGCCAACACCTTAAAATTAGAGGAAGCAGAGCACAGGACTTGCACTCCGATGTGGCCCGGCTTGCTGCCCTGTAATGAGAGTTCTCCACTAAAATCTAAAGAGAGAATGGAACTACATAATGAAGAAGAGGTCTCTTCAATCAAATATAAGTCCAAACATCTCATTTTGAGTTTTTGTGGGCAATGGTGTGTTTTCCACTGAAGAGGGTGTGCCCACAGAGATTTCTCCTCTCATTGGCTGGGAGCCATTTCAGGCCAAACAGGCTCAGAGTGATGGAGATGCTATGCTGAAAGAAAGGAGAACATTGACAAAACCTCTATTTTAATCAGGGTTCTCCACTGCAATAAGTTGATTAAAAATCTCTATTTAAGAATTGACTGCAAAGCTAACTTCGTGTGTTTTTTTGTAACTGTGAACCAGCCCTGGCTTTCTGGCTACCTCTGATATAGAATCATAGAAGCAGGGGAAAGATATTGGTCCTACTGCATGATCTTAGTTCTTTCTAGTATTATTGGATTAATTATTTCCTCATCAAATAGAACTTGTTTTGTACTAGAAATTTCTACCAATTTTTCAATTGCTAAAAGGCTGCTGGAGGATTTCAGCAGGATTTGGAATTATTCACTTGTTCCTTTGACTAACTATTGTGTTGGTCACCTATTTTCAGAGGTGAATATTTTAACACAATCTTGACATTTTAACATTTGAGCAATTTTTTTCCAGCCTCCATGCAGACTTCTAACATGGGGATTGCAGCTGGACATTTATCTTGCATGCTTAGGGCTTGTCATGATAAACTTCCCAAGAGCTATTCCTTTCCCTCTGAGATATAGCATGCCAAAAGAACTAATGGCACTCACTTCATCCATGGTTATCTTGGTCAAAGAAGAAAGAGAACAAATTACTATCTTCACTAAGAAAAGCCAAATACTAAAAAGTAACAGACAGTGGAATAAAGTGGGTAAGATTAAATTAAAGTAGAAAATATGTTATCCAAAATATTGCAGTACTGGAAAGAGATTTTAGAAAGCATTATGGTTATATTAAGCATGTCCTTTAGGGATAAAAATGAGTAAGGCAGATGTGATTCTTCCCAAGTAGCCATTACATTTAGAAAAATTTTGTCAATATGTTTGCAGTGTGTTGAAAGTAACAGCCAAGACTGTTTAACCAGAATTGTGGAAATACCTCACTTTGCTCTTCAGTGGAATTAATGCCCAGGGGGGACATGTCACCATTTCTGTCAGTGGGAACTCTTCTCAAATGGGGAAAAAAAATACATTCTATAATTAATACAAAGTATTTTCAAATTTTTCTTGGGGGAAACTATAAACAATGGGCAAAAAAAAAAAAAAAATCTCCATCTGGGAGAGAATAATGTTTTTCACAGCAAAGGATGTACCTCTGATTTTCATGGAAACCACTGTCAGATTCCAGGCAGAAAGGAAGATCTCTCTGATACTTATTTAGAGGGCACAAATTAATCTGTAGAGCCCTGCATGTTGCAATAAGGCACAGAAACCCCAAACTTTTGTACAGGTAGCAAGGGTACCTGCTGCTTTTTAGAGAATTTCTGAATTCTCTGAAACCAGGGAGGTTTATTTTCTTTGCATGGTGCTGTGTAGTGTGTTGTCTACCTCCACACCCAGAGCTGATAGCATTTAATTCACCCCATCATGGCATTTGTATTGTTTCTTCCCCCTGTTGCACCCCATCAGTGAACTCTGCAATCCTGCAATGCCTGGCACTGTCAGTGATACAGTAATTTTCACTTAAACCCAGAATAATAAAGTGTTTGTCAGTTTGTGAAGCCTTTGTGGCATCATCCCTCACCTTGAGCTGCACTCTGTACATAAATGCAACATGTGTAGCTATCAGGGATGAGCAGATGGTAGGTCACTGCTCATCGCTCATTAAGGCAATTAGTGACCTGTAGGAGATGATCAATCAGGGATTTTATCCATCTCGACGCCGGTGTCTGGTTGCCTGACTGAAGGATTCTGTTTACAGTCCAGTTCTTAATTTCTCCCATTCCTGCTCATCATTATTATTATCCAAAGAGCCTTTTTGCTTCTGTTAGCAAAACCAGAATCCCCCGTGCCTCAGTTTTAGCAGCTAATGTCCACAATAGGGGCAACTGATCCAGCACAGGAGTTAAATATAACTGTGTCTAGTGTAAGGAGAAGATTTAATGGGAAATGGTTGGCATTCTTTCTTCCTAAAGGCATGGAGAGGGAGGGGGAAGAGAGAGAGAGAGAGAGAGAGAGAGACGTACACAGACAGACACACGCATCCCATAGTGAGGGCAGAGGCAGAGAGCAGGCAAGGGAGAGAGGGCAGAGAGAGAGCCCCAAAGCAGCCTTGTGCCTCTGAGCTGGGATCTGCCAGGGCAGAGCCAGCATGCTGCTCCTCAGCCCGCTTGTCCGGGGATCTTACCTGCTGCTTTTCTTCTGCTTTGCTTTGTCTCAGACTGCGTACGCTGACAATGTCTTCTCACTTTCAGCAGGTAAATTGCTTTAAGTCGTTGCTTTTCCTCGCTTGGAGCACTCTGCACTCTGATTCTTGCACTTTCTGGTGATTGGGAACACAGGAGGAAAAAAACCCCTTCAAATAGCAGATCTCAGCTGAGGGATTTTGCATTGCAGATCTGCTCAGCCACAAGTCAGGACACTTTGTTGCTTGGTCGGTTTTGCTTTTTGCCTTATAATTTCTGGTTTTAAACCCCTCCCTTCTCTTCCCCATGAGAAATAATGAGCAAGATCCTCGGCTGTTCAAAAATGCTTTTTTTCCATTGGCCTCTGTGGTGCTGTGCTAAGGCATGGATCTGGCCCAATTAGTTTATTTCTTGCATGTCTGCATGTTTCTTTCTATTTTGGATGAGTTTAGGCAGAATACGGCAAGGGAAAGAAAATGAATCTCAATGTATATCTGCTTCTATAAATAAAGCCCTGACCTCAATGAGTGCTGCCGGTGCCCGACTGGATGTTAGCAGAATAAACATCATCTGGCTCTGGCTATGACACTAACAAATACTCGGATGACTTACATAGCAAACAAGAGCCCACTGCATGGAAAATCCCTGCTAGGCAAAGACAAAACAAATTAGTTGTCAGCTGAGCCAGGGCACTGGAAATCCCTCTTAATAGATTTTACAGTTTCAGCAGTAAGACTTCCCTTCAGTCACGTTCTGTGCGAGGGAAGAGGAAAGGCAGCGAGAGCTCTGACTCCATCTTCTTTGAGGAACATCCACCAGTTTATGGCAAATTGCTGTCTCCCACCTTCTGCCTGCTATTCTGTATCAATACAGATGCTTCTAACTAATGTCCTGTGTTCCTTCAGTGTTAGATTTGAGATGGTTCAACTGAGGTTGGCAGGTCAGGGCCTGCTGTACCTATAGATCCTCCCCATGGCTTTCACAGTGATCAGAGGGCTGCATATTTTAAGTCTGTACATAAAATCAACCCTGGACATGACTTAAAGGCACACAGCCTTTCTTGCTCTCAAATCCCTCTGCTGTACCCACGGAGCCAAATGGTTTACCTTCAAGCTCTCTAAGATGCTGAAAAGCCTTTAAATTTGTTACCATTTATTTTCTATTGGGATGTGCTTTTTCTGTTATGTTGACATTAGTCAACGGTGAGGTACAGGAATCACCAGGATTTATTTTCCCTGATATACTCCAAATTGCTTTGCAATAACATCAGACCTCAAAACTTGTTTTGAAGACCTTTGTATTTTTCTGATGCTTGTAGATGACACACAGGCAAGCAAGAATGTGATGTTTCCTTTGCCTACTCCTGTGCCACACACTTGTGTTTCTACAGAAGGCATTTGATCTGTCCTGTTAAATAACAGTTCAACAAATAACCTGCCCATAAAAAGAAGGAAGACTTGTCATCTCTGCTGAAACCACAGTAGAAGAGGTAAACATGAAGGAAAATGCCAGAGCCTGCTCCTTGTAGTGGAGCATTTTCCACAGGGCAGTCCTGGGCTCTGCAAGACCCCATTGGGCAGACCCCCACCCCACAGTCTGCTCCATGGCAAAGTCCCACAAAGTCCCTCTGTTCTACTTGCCAAGACACTGAAAATCACCTTTATATCCAACAAGCTCTTAGTGCGGCTCCTGCCATTTATGCATTGTCAATGTTTGCTTGATAAAATGTGGAAAAAACAGCAGTTGGCCGAAGATTCTGTCATAATCCCACAGCTGCAGGGCTGGATTGAGACATACCTATGTGTCATTATTACTTGGTAATCAGGGCTATTTGGTATTAAAAATATAATCAGGTATTCCTTTAGTGCTTTGGTTGCATCTGTACTTTAAGAAACTTCTAAGAAAAAAAGCAGTATGTTCTATTTTTCTGGTAGAAATCTGACAGTTGGCACAGAAGATGAATTCATTAAATTTACTCTGAAGGTGAATTAATTCTGCTTACATTCTCAGTTATTTTAGTGATTTCTCAAATGTTCTCTGACTGTCAGCAGAGTCAATTATTTGTATTCGGCACCAGGATTCTTTCATTTAAAGAATGAATTTCAGCAGTGCACTTTCCAATTCTGAAACTAATCCCATTTAGCAGAGAGAATGTTCTTAAGCAATGGCTTGTCTTTCCTATAGTTGGAGAAAAAACATTCGGGTATCTTCCAGGTGTGTCTGGAAACTTCTAGCCTAAAGGAACTTTTATTTCTGTCCTCACAAATCTTTGCAAAGCAACAGGTCACAAATAAACAGGTCACTTAAATAAAAAGCTTACAGGTCCCAAAGCAGTAACTAGAAAGCAAAGAGGAAACAGCCTGTAGGGTGGAAAAGTGTTTGTACAATAACTGGGGAAAGAAGAATAAGCCGGATCTTTGTTTTCCACCAACTCCACCTTAGAGTCTCATCAGCCTCAAGCAACAGTGCATCCTGGTTTCTAGAAGTATTTTGAGTGTCATGTCAGCTCCAAGGAGTTGAGTCTCACAAAGCTGAAGCATCATTTCTGGAGAAAATGTTCCAGGGAATAATATTATAACATATTATAACAGCATCTAGCCGTGGTTCCACATGGCAGTGAAGAACCCCAGGGTGGGTAGCTCAGCTCCTGGAGACAGCAGGTTATTTTCAGGATAACCTGTCATGCCCCACCCTTACACTACTTGTGTTTGTGGTGTCATTTACATCTATTTTTCAAAGCTCTGCCCTACTGAGGTTCCTGAACTGCTGCACTCACATGATGAAGGCATGAGTTCTGTAGTCATTTTTAGTAGGGCTGTATGAACCAGTCTGGACCTTGTAGGAACCACCCTGAAGAAAGCCACCTTCCAAATTCAGGTAGTAGAAAGACTCTCTTCCTCTCCTTCTCATTCCTTCTCCTCCCCTTTACTGCTCACCCAGGCCCATCAAGGTTTGACAGTGAGATGGGACAGTATTTCAATTACCAGAAGCATCTGAAGAAAAAGAACTGCATCTCAGTGCTTCTTCTGGCCTTTTATGCATGCCACAAGAACACCCCTTGATTCAGTTGGCTCCTACAGTCAATACTGATTCATAGTCCTTTGGAAATATTCTGGTGGATCAGTTTAAAAGAACTCAATGGGATATCAGAGCACTATTGACAGTATTCCTCACACTTTCTTTGCCTTTGTCCTATTATTTTCCTGAAGAAAAGGAACATTATATCTCACTGGGTATTAGGTTCATCCTCTTTGAGTCATGAAGGTGTAATATTTGCAACCAGATATCTTGTGGCAAAGCTGCAGAAAATAATTCCGTTTTCTTGTGGACTGACTCTGTTGGAGCCATGGTGATGGGCCGGGAAGAGCAGCTGTGTGGGGTGGCAGCCGTGGCTGGGCAGCACAGAGAAGGGACCTTGGGAGCCACTGTGGTGCTGTGCTGTGGGCAGAGGGCATTGTGCATTTGTGAGAGAAACAGCAGGACAGAAAGGACACAGAAACAAGGGATGATTCCTGACATTGGGGGAGCTGGGATCAGGGCTGTGATCCCAACTGAATCTTTCTATAAAATTAATATCTGACCCCATCATCAGGGTTTGGTTTTCTTTTCCCTGCAGGAACCTGAACTATTGTCATGATGGACAGCAAAGCTGTCAGGTGGATGTATTTTGTTTCTAAACAGAGTAATTGTAAATATTTATTTATGTAAAATCACAAGAGAATGACTTATCAGAGTGTTTGCAAGAGAAAGAAAGTTGCATAAGGAATTTAAAACAAGATGAAGAAGACTTTCAAAAGGCAGCAGTCAGAGCCTGCTGGGGAAAGGGCCCAAAGGGTGACTAGCAAGCAAAAATATCAGACCAGGGAAGGAAACCTGGCTCTGCTCTGTAAATCAGCATGGGCCCAGGAGGTGCTGAGCATCCTGGTACCATTGGGTAGTGGGTTTCTCATGGAACAAACATAAGCAGGAAAGCTGGGGTTAGATTAAAATTCCTGATAGAAATGAGCCACTGGCAAAGGCTACAGCTTCATTAGAAGAAGGAAAGCAAAGTATATTAGCCATGAGAGGGCAGTCACCTAGCTGTGGAACTGAGCAGCCAAAGGTCTTGGGGCAGGATGTTTGAGAGCTTCCTGTCTTGTTTGTGATTCATATCAGCCTGAAAGGGAAACAAAATATTCTTTCAGTGGATTCTCTGTTCAGCTTCAGAGAAGAAAATAACCTTGTGATTGGCTGGTTTAACTTGATAGCCCAAATGGGGAGCTGGAAAGATAAGCCAAAAGAAGGAAGGCATAGTGGCTACCTTTCTAAGCTGATAAAGATTCCTGAGCAGCTTCTGGGGAAGGCTTGGACTTGTAGCAAATTAACAGCCTAGTATCATGTGGTTACTGTTGCTTCAAGTAAATGAGTTTTTAAATAAGCAGAGTTTAAAAAACACCTGATTTGACTTTATCTGTATATTCTCCCCTGGTAGATATCACCTGTGAAAGTCCCAAACTGGGTGTCCTGCTCAGGTCACTGTAGATGATACTCAGGAAAGGAATCACCTTAGGACTCACAGACCTTCTCTGGTGGTGTATGCTGCAAAAGCTGTGCTCAGTGAGGTGAGAGCAGAGCAGCCACACTGGTGCACAGCCTGCCCGTGACTCCGTGCCTGCATCCACCTTCTCGTCAGCAAGGACAAAGGAAGGGAGCCCTGATGTCATCCTCAGTAGACAAGGCCCCCCAGAGATGCCCTGATATTCACAGTAAACCAGTGAGTAGGAACCCACTCAATCCTGTGGGTAAGGGACAAGGAAAGGACATCAGACGTTGGGCCTTGCAGCAGTAAATAAAAATCAGAAGAGGACATAGCCTCTAGTGAGGAAGCTGGAACCTGTCTGCAGCAAAGCTCCTTAAGTGCAGCCCTGGCCTTGCATGCAGGAGAAGGAAGAGGCTTCTGACGTGTTTATGGCATTACTTGGCATTACATATGGTTGACAAGGTGCTTGTGTTGTCAGAAAGGTTCAGTGATAATGCAGATGAAGTGAAGGGCTTCAGTGAAATGCTGTTGAAGTTGAAATTCATGACATTCG